ATAAAATATATCAAAGCTAGAGACTCCATTACTTTAGGCAGAAGAAAAATGTGACTATGACCTTTCCCACACTCAGGCAGTACTCATGCCATGGAGCTGAGGGTGTACGAAGAGATGATCTCCCCTGGTCCCCACAGGGGTTTGCATGGGAGAGGCTGTTTGCTGCTCAGATGTGTCCCTGCAAGCCAAGCATGCCTGGGTTTTAGGCATGAGCGTAAAAACTGTCAAAAGTTGAGCAGAGAAAAGTAGACACTGTTGACATCTGACAGTGATTACACCGAGGTTTGAGAAATCCGCATGCTGGACATAGGGAACAGGCTCGTTCCAAGTGCCCTGTGTCAACCACACTCCCCGAATCCTTCACACCCTGGCGTGGATGGACACACCACGAGCTCGACTTGTGTCAGTGATCCACTAGGAGGAGCAGGAGGGCAGCGTGTGCCCACGCCGATTTCTGGAATGGCTTTTGGCAGCTCATGAACTGAGGCACAGGAGTCAGGGAGTGAGGGCAGTCCGGGAAGGAATAAACTCTGTCACCCAGTGCTTGTTGCTGCTGCTTCATCTGCACTGACTGCTGGTTCCTACAGCTCAGGGGTCCTGAGCTCCTCTTAATGCAAAGCAAATAATAAATAGTGCAACTCAAATCCTTGAGAGGAAAGTGAGTATTTTTCAGAGTCTAAGATTCCTGAAATGGACTTCTCTGGCTGAAGAGAAGGGAACGCTTGCATTGCTTATACTTTTCAGAGTCTAAGATTCCTAAAATGGACTTCTCTGGTTGAAGAGAAGGGAACGCTTGCATTGCTTTCTCTGTAGGGCTGGAAAGCATTTTTTCTTTCATCCCTCTCTGGAAAAGCATGGTTGCATCATTCCTCTGTGGATTGTTTCTCATGTTGCATTTTCTCCTTCTCTCTATTTCAGCATTATAAGTTGTTCCTGTTAAAGCTGTTCCTATAAAAATATTTGAGCAGTTTTCTACACTGAGCTCTTGGACCCTGAAACAGGGAGTCATGAGGAATTTGCACCCTGATCCCATTCACTTGTGCACTTGAGCAGCCTAATCACACTCCTCACATCGTGGGCCCTCACAGCACTGCAGAAAAAAGCAAGAGCTGGTAATGAATTGCATTGTAGGGCTCTCTGAGGGTTTTACTGTGGTGGCACTCTAACTGTAATCAATGGAGGGCAGTTTCCTTTCTTCCAGCATAGGGCTGTTCAGTGAACATTAAGTTTTGCAGCTGGAAGTATGAAGTCATAAAAATGTAACAGTGCAGTTTTGGTACCTTATTCAATCAGGGTCAGAATCTGTAGCTGGATCATGGATGTAATAAAAAACATCAGCTTGGACTTCTGTGGAGTAGCTGAATAGAGGTCACACCATTAAACACTGCCACCTCAACATTTCAGAGGCCACTGTTGTCTATTTGTGGAACTGCCCATGAGAGAGGGACAGGGATTATGTGGCACATTGGCACCTGAGGAGGGGATTTCACCTCTCCCCTCCCAAATGCATACACTGGGGAAAGGCTGATGAGTAGAGGATGGCCCTGGCTGGCTGGCTGAACTACAAGAAATACTGTGCTCAAATGGACCATGCTTTCAGAAAACCACTCCATATCCTACACTGTGATTTCCACTTGGTCTTGTCACCTCTGCACTGAGCACTGCTGAGATCACACACCCTTAGCCAGCCCCAAGATCAAACAGAATAATTTGTTTGTACCTGTGTAACACCTTCTTCAAATCCTTTAATGACTTCTTGCCTGCCAATCTTGAACCTGAAAGGCTTGTTTCTGTCTCTAGAGGAATCAAACTTCTTTCCATTCTGTAACATTCCTGCCAAAACAAGACACACAGTTTCAATCTGAGCTACATCAACATTTAAGTGCTAGAGGAGAGGGAAGGAGTGAAAGATGAATGTCATAGTCCCTGGCAATTGCTTTTGCAAAATGCTACACCTGGATACTGTGAGGTTGGGCTGATATTGTAATAGAATTGATGCAAAATAATGTAATAGAATAAATACTTTCTCTTTAGCACCGTAGTGCTAGTGTTCTGGGCATACACCACAACTCCTGTGCAAGGGGTTGTGCAAAGAGAAGTTCATTAATCTGAGGAAGTTTCTTGTTGTAAAGAACATTAACAAGTCCAGCTTTGACAGAAAATGCTGAAAAATAATGCCTTTGAGTATGAACAATACAGTCCTATCACTTTCTTTCCATTAAAGCAGTTATATTACTAGATCAGCTTGATGCACAAGTTTTATTTTTCAGTGAAAACCATCAATTATTGTCCAAACAACAGAAAAAGAGGCGTATTTTGCTTGCTTAAAGAGTCTGTGCTATGAATCAAAGGTAAATATGAAGAGATGTGCCAGAATTAAAAACAAAAACTAAAAATCACAGACTCACAGAATATTCAGAGCTGGAAGGGACCCACAAGGATCATTTAGTCCAACTCTTAAAGGCAGGATTCATTTTACCAACCTTTATGCTTCTAAGATGTAGCCCTCTACTTCTGAGCTAATTACTCTGCTTCCCTCTCTAATTGAGTCAGAGAAAAATGCCCTTTCAGGGGGCAATTCATCTAACCAAATCCAGGGTTCTACATTAGGACACAATGAATCGCATCCCTGCAGTGCCTATTGCTTTGCAATGAATAAAAGAAGTCCAAACAACTAGATCAGCCATAGATGTCTCCAAATTCATTAGTAGTTAAATCAGTGGCAATGGCACCCTGGACTTGCAGTCATGAGTACACAGTATTTGATCATTCCAGAGGGGTTCTCTGTTTAGATACTGTATATCAATATTATAACCAAATGCCATATTAAGGCAAATTAGCTGTTGGCCAAGTCCAACATTTGTCAAAGCTGGTCCTTCAGAGATGCCTGTGTATGTATGTATATATAAGGCCTTAGGAGGAAAATTCTGGAATTACCTGCCTGTAAGGAATCTTTCATAATCATCACTGTTAGCATGTCATATTCCTTAAGTTTTTCACAGTAAAATAATGAAGTATTGTGTGTGTGCTCAGATGCAAGTACACAGAATCACAGAATCAGTTAGGCTGGGAAAGATCTCTAAGATCATCAAGTCCAACCTATTACCACACACCACCATGCCAACTAGACCATGGCACTAAGTGCCATGTCCAGTCTGTCCTTAAACAACTCCAGGGACTGTGACTCCACCACATCCCTGGGCACTGCATTCCCGTGTCTAATCACCCTCCTAGGGCCAACCAAAACCTCTCCATGCAGCCTGAGGCTATGTCCTCTCATCCTGTCACTTGTTGCCCGGGAAGAGGCCAATTCCCACATGGCTACAACCTCCTTTCAGGTAGAGCGATAAGGTCTCCCCTGAGCCTTCTTTTCTCCAGGCTGAACACCCCCAGCTCCCTCAGCTGCTCCTCACAGGACTTACCCTCTAGACACTTCCCCAGCTCTGTTGCTCTTCTCTGGACTCACTCCAGCACCTCAATGTCCACTTGCGGGAAGAGGCCAATTCCCACATGGCTACAACCTCCTTTCAGGTAGAGCGATAAGGTCTCCCCTGAGCCTTCTTTTCTCCAGGCTGAACACCCCCAGCTCCCTCAGCTGCTCCTCATAGGACTTACCCTCTAGACACTTCCCCAGCTCTGTTGCTCTTCTCTGGACTCACTCCAGCACCTCAATGTCCTTCCCGAACTAACGGGAAGAGGCCAATTCCCACATGGCTACAACCTCCTTTCAGGTAGAGCGATAAGGTCTCCCCTGAGCCTTCTTTTCTCCAGGCTGAACACCCCCAGCTCCCTCAGCTGCTCCTCATAGGACTTACCCTCTAGACACTTCCCCAGCTCTGTTGCTCTTCTCTGGACTCACTCCAGCACCTCAATGTCCTTCCCGAACTAAGGAGGCCAGAACTGCACACAGTACTCGAGGTGTCTCACCAGTGCCCAGCACGGGGGGAAATTCACATATGATGCAATGTATCAGCTCCGTGATATCCCCAAACCTCTCCACACAGGCTGGGAAGCTGCACCAGCTCCTGCACAAGGCCTTCCAGCTACACACTAACACAGACTCATTTGTAATATAGAAATCCAGCCTGCACATGGGGGAGGGCAGGCAGGGAGAAGCAGCTCAGGGGGAACTCTCAGCCATATCACATAATCCTTTTTGAAGTATTTGATCTTAAATGTAAATGGCAGCCCTTCCTCACAGCAATTTTATTTTTAAACACATCATAAAACCTCATGATTCTATGAAATGGAAGGAGACTATTACAGAACCCCAATATTTAATAGTTTTAATATTAAAACTTAGTAATGTCATTACAGTCTGCACGTTCAAAGCAGTATGCAAACATTAATTATTCTTTGCATTAGCCCAAGGAGGTAGAAGAAGATATTTATTATAAAATAGCCTCAGTCTGGAAGTTCAGATGCAAAGTTCCACAACACTTTGGTACGCATTCACTTCATTTTGTAACTAAATCCTATTAAAACGCTTAGCTTAAAGCTCTGATGGTTTACTAAACACCCCACATCACACTGGCAGCAGATTCAGAATTACCTCTTCAGAGATCCTGACAACAGCTCCTGGACAATATTTCCCATTTAAAATAACATTTCCACCTGTCCCTGAGCTTGCTGATACATAGTCTGATATATCAAAACTGACTCATTTTACTACCAAAAGCCTATAGAAGATGTGTTAGGCCTTGCAGAAGAAAACAAGCTTTTCTCCTATATTTACAGCACATCCTATTTTCAGCAACAGCTGAAAATTCATTAGGAGGTGGATTCTGAAATGTAACCTCCTCTGTCATCACCTTACTGCTTTTTGAGGACAAACTGGGATTCAAAGAGTCAAATGTGTCTGTACTCACTGAAGCTCTGGCAGGAGGGTCAATTTTTATATGAGTGCCCTTTAAGTGCACATCTAGTCTAGAAATGAGTCAGAGTACCCATGTGCCCTGGAGAAGTTCCGACACAGATTTAGATCTGAACTTTAGATCTTTTTTATCTCTATATCTGAGAGTTAGAGTCAACTATTCAGGCTCCTGGGAGCTAAAACAGCACAATGCTTTATTTTCTCTCTTGCTAATGCATCAATTGATTTTTTTTCTGGTGAAAAAAATTGATTTACTTAATATTCTTCAACAAGGATGGATGCCCATCTTCAGCTGCATCTTTATTTATCTAGCTAACAGCAAGGAGAAAAAAACCCACAATCTGGAACTCAACAATGACATTGTTTTGCAAAGTCAGAACAATCAATAAGAGTATGGACTGGGCAAGGACATCTAGATGTATACTTGTTAAAAAACCTTACATTTGATCCTGAAAGGTAACAATCATTGTATTAAAATAATTAATTGTACAAACTCAGTTATGACAATATGGTGCAGATTTGAAAACATTCTAATCTACAGGAGTCCTAATTGATAACTAGGTCTCAAAACTTCAGTGGCTGTAGAAAAGAAGTTTCATATCACAGGTCCTAAAAAAAAAGAAACTGCAGATCAAAGAGCACACAAATCATTCTGTTATGGAACATGACCAGGGAGCCATCCAAACTGCCAAAATTACAATGCTATTTGGGCTAAAACAGCAATGAAAACAGAACTTCAGTCTAGGTTTAACACAGGTTATTACTTCTTATTAAAACATAGGTGTGTCTGCAGGTGTGCCTGCACTACCGTTTAAGATGAATTAACTGAGGTCAGTCGACCTCAGCTAAGATCCCATCCTTGAAGTCTGTTTCCTAAGGGCAGAGGGCTAATGACACACTGTCTGCACTTGCCTAATAACTTTGGAATCTTTGAGCCAATTTCAACCATGTTTGGCAGAGGAGTAGAGATCATACAGACATACAGATCCTATACATGTAATGCTGAAAAATGTCTGTGTAGGAAGAAGAGCCTGTAAGTGCCTCTACCAAGAGAATGGCTCAATGTTTGTTATCAGAGAAACTCTACTATTGAGGCGAGGTCAGGAATGGAACGACTGGACCACAGTCTAAGTTTCTTTTTTCTTCCTTTTCTTCCTTCATCTGAAAATGATTCAGCTGGGCATGTAACCAACCACATAGCAGAAAACCATAGAGCCAGCCCAGCTGTTAGACACCTAATACACCTACTGTCCCAACAAAACCCTTCCTCAAACCACTGCCAAACAAAAGATGGATGGAGAGAGAACGCTGATGGCCATCCATAGATAGTCTGTCAAGCTTATGTGCCTGAACCTGGAAAATTTATGTGTAGAATTCCTCTGCCAATGTTATCCATCTCAAAGGTAGAAACTGTGTCTCAACCTGTCATCTAGACTACTTTTACAGTTAATGGAGAAAGAGAGGTATCTCCAAGAATGATTCATCCCACCTAGATATAGATGTTAGGGCTGCAATAACCTCCTGGAAGTGTTTGTCATGCTCAGTCAACTACCTTACAAAAGTTAAACAACTTAACAACATTAATTCCAAACACTAGACTGCCAGGTCTTTATAGGGCCCTAGTGAGGAGGTATTAACTCAGCCATCCATCCCTAAAAGAAGTAGCCCAAATTGCATCTCAGGCTTCACTGGCTCCAGTGTTTACTGAATTATTTGTTTTTGCAGTGTTGACAAATTCTGGGAATCAGAAGACAGATATCCTAATCCAGGACAAATCCCTCGATTTCACTAGTTGCTCTCCTTTTATCCTGTACAATGGGATTCACTTACTTCACTTGTTTTGAGGGGATAAATTGAACTGAATAGGTGACTTTCAAAAAACAGCATCATTCATCTGCCAAATATTCCATTCCCTTATTTTTTCAAACATAGTTATGGAACATAAAGGCAATACACACTC